CCTTGCTCTTCGCCCAAAGACTAGGATTATAGATGGGCATTTATGAGGGCTTTTTCTGTTTGTTTGTTGTTTGCTTGTTTGTTGGTTTGAGCTAATATCAGAGACTGCTCATGGTATGCTCATAACTATCTCCTTTTCCCTGTGGTTCTAGGCAGCCCCTTTCTCAAGTCTTATAGACAAATGGCAGCACAGCAGGAAGCTAGTTGCAACTCCAGTGCCAGAGGCCTTAGGCTAGGGGACACTGAGACACTGAGCTAATTCAGTCCTAGACATTATCAGGCAAATTACAAGTGTGTGTGTGTGTGTGTGTGTGTGTGTGTGTGTGTGTGTGTGTGAGAGAGAGAGAGAGAGAGAGAGAGAGAGAGAGAGAGAGAGGTGTTTACCCAGCTCATTGTGGTCAGACCCCTTTTTGCCATTCCACTTTTATTTTAAGATCTCTCACTGGCCTGATATTTGCCACATATGCCAGGCTGACTCTCTAGCAAGCCCTTGGGATCCCCTTGTCTATTCTTCCACAGTGTGGTAATTATAAGAACCTAGTCCTGGATTTTTATTTTATTTTATGTGGGTAGGTGTTTTGCCTGCATCATTTATGTACACCGAATGTATGCCTGGTGGTCAGGGAGACCAGAAGAAGCTGTCACATCACCTGAAAGTAGAATTACAGACAGTTGGGAGTGGAACTTGGGCTCCCTGGAAGAGCAGCAAGTGCTCTTAGCACCAAGCCATCTCTCTTGCACCCCCCCCTTGCTTTTTCAAATGTGTGTTCTAGAAATTAAACTTGGGTCTTCCAAACACTTTACCAATGCAGCCATCTCTCAAGCCCTATCAGGAAAAAAAATTTAATGTTCTCAAATAAGACATTTGTCTACGTAAATATTAAATAAAAGAAGTCTTATATATTATGTACAATAAAATATTTATATTCAGGTCTGGAGATATGGCTTACTGGGAAAACTGTTTGATGAACAAGAATGAAGACCACTTGAAAGCCAGACATGGCAAAGCCCATCTTCTGCCAGTGCTTGGGAGAAGAGCCAGGCAGACCCTGGGGACTCACTGACCAGCCAGCCAGTCTTACCAAATGAGCAAGCTCTACATTCTATGAAATACTCTGTCTCAACAAAAAACAAACAAGGTGGAGCTCAATAAGAGAAGATACCTGATGCCAACTTCTAGCCTCTATACACACCAGCAGGGGTGAGCGCACTTGATAAACAAGTACAGGGGCTGGAGAGATGACTCAGCAGTTAAGAACACTGACCGCCCTTCCAGAGGACCCAAGTTCAATTCCCAGCACCCACACAGCTGCTCGTAACTCCAGGTCCAGAGGATCCTGCTCCTTCCTCTGGCCTCTGAGGGTACTGGGCATACATGTGATATAGAGACATACATGAAGGCAAAATACCCATATGGATTAAATAAATAGATAAAGCAACCATAGGCCTATTGCTTCTTCTTACCCCCTTCAAGGCACAGGGCACCTCCTTGCTATCTGTCTGATAGCAAGGTGACATCTATTGGTCTCTTCCTTTGGTATCATTCATCTAAACACTTTGACAGGCAAATTTCAGACAGTTTTTCTGTAAAAAAGGTCCCAGTGTGAAATCAACAACCTGGCACAGTGAAAGCAGGTGGAGTCACAGTCCTGAAGGCTCAGCATATTTACTAGACCCATAAACAGATGTCTATCCACAGAGTCCAGACAGAGGGTCTAGGGTGAGCGTCCTCCCTGCCATACAACCAGCAGTCCTGGGTAAACCCTGAACTCACCACTCTGTGCAAGCCCGGCTGGCCAGGCAGAGCCCAGGAAGGCTGCCAGGACTGAAAACAGGCATCGCTTTATACATCAGACACCACATTTGTACTGGTGTTTTTCTTGTTATCACAGACTGTTATGGTAGACTTTATAAACTGCGGTTGGTAGAGCTGGACCAGCAGGAGGCTTTCAGAGTTCTGTGCTAAAGGGGAAAAACGGCCAAGAAAACCTAGCCACAAACAAAAAAGGAGGGAAAAACAAGATTACTTGTCTGACCACAATGAGCTGGGTAAACACCACTTTCTGCAGGCCTATAACGTGATATTGCACTCATGTCTGGTATGTGTGACCACCGCATGGGCTGATCTCTCAATACTGATTGTAGCTACACATGAATTGTTTCATGGGATCGCTCAGTATCTGTTAGAACTAAAGTGAAGATGTAAACCTACTTCCAGAACGCCTGCTACACCCGTCCTATTTTTAGCATTGCCAAGGCAAATTAGAAATCTGACTACTTGGCAAATATCGCAGACGTCACATTAACTGGCGACTTTCATCAAAGGATGATATGTTTGGTGAACCATTCATTTGACCAGGATAAAAAGTAAATTCTTGGGTCTAAGAAAAAAAGGTATGGCAAAATGCCTAGGTCCACAGTTGTTTCATATGGATGCCGGTTAACTGTAATGATAAGGTCTGGATAGCATTCGTCTCCTTCCTAAAGATCAGGTCTAGGAAGGGCCTGGCTCCTCCACCTCTACCGCACTCTGGTGACTACAATAATGTCTATATTATACTAATGTACACCAGCTTATGGTAATAGTTCATTGAGCCTTTAAAAGGATTTTATAAATTGCCCATGTTTTCTAAAATGTAAACTCCTATAGCATAGCAAATAAAGTACGAATTTAATGAAATAAAGTCCCACCCCGAATGAGAATCATAATTATCTGTTAATATAAAAGACTAGGCTCGGCCTGAAGAGATGGCTCAGCCGTTAAAGGCTAGGCTCACAACCAAAAGACTAGGCTTTCTCTTCCTCCCTCCTTCCCCTCCTCTCTTCCTCCAGAGGGACTGTCTCACTATGTAGCTCATGGTAACCTCAAACTCACAATCCCCCTGCATCAGCTTGGGATGAGCCACCATATACCTGGCAAGCATGTGCCTTTAATACAAGCAGTTGATTCTTCTTTTCTGGTCTTTGTCCTACTTTGCCACATTCTGTATTTGAACCCAGAGCCTCAGCCATGCTAAGCATGCATCATTCCACTACTAAGCCCCATCCCCCAACCAAGAAAAGCTGTAACTATTTGACAGTGGTAAAATTCTTTCCTCCCTAACCCAAACTGTGTTCACTTATTTAAAGTAATTTTATACTGTATTAAATTATATATACATATAGTCACAAAGACAGGTAATAGCTGCTTAAGCAACATCATACTTTCTTATACTTGCCCCAGTGACATCTATTTTGCTGATTCTATGACACTCAGTTTTAATGAATTATCTCTGAAATTAAGGTGCATGTAGAATCTGTGATGGCCATATTAGTCAGCATATTGTCTTTGTAATGTGATACAATGAAAGCTAGTGGTATCCTTTTTTAATCTTGATAGAAATATTTTTATTTACTATACCTTCTTTTTAATTTTTATTTTTTATTTAAATTCTTTAATTACTTCTCATATTTACATATCCATTCCCCCATTCCCTCGCCCTCCCATCCTCCCATGTTCCCCACCAACCCCTCCAACACACCCCCAACTCCTCCCCAGGGATAGTGAGACTTTCCACCAGGGACCTTCAAAGTCCATCATATCATTTGGGGGAGGGCCTAGGCCCTCCTTGCTGGATCTGGGCTGCAATAGTATCCCTCCATAGGAAATGGGCTCCCAAAGTCCATTTGTGCTCTGGGGTTAAAGACTGGCTCCACTGTTAGAGGTCCCATAGACTGTCTTGGCCTCCTAGCTGGCACCCACATTCAGAGGGCTTAGTTTGGTCCAATGCTGTTTTCCCAGCTTTATGACTAGGGTCTCCATGCTCTTACTAGGTCAGGTCCACTGTTTCTGCGGGTTTCTGCAGCACCGTCTTGGCTCCTTTGCTCATCCCTCCTCCCTCTCCACAACTGGATTCTGTTAGTGGTATCTTAAATTGAATAAAATATAGCAAGCCTCACCTTGAAAGTGTTATCTTTACCTTAATTAGTTTTACAGCTTACTCTTCCCACCTGTACTTTTGGCTGACACACTTGTAGATCTATGCTCTCCCTCTGGAGAACTAAGCTAGAACTGTACTAGTTAATTAGTCAATCTTAACAAATTCGAGGCCCAACAGCGTTGAGAGTGCTAGGGTTACTCTGGGATAATGAGACTACGCAAGAAGTGGGCTGGAAGCTGGGAGGGCTGGTGGGGGCTTCGCATGCACACACAGCACTTAGCACTGGACTCCTACCCCGTTTTTTTGTGGTGGAGTCAGTAAGTACATTAATTCCGGGGCAGCAGAATTCCCAGGTGGCTTTACTCAGGAAAACCTGACAGGCAGATAGTTTCTCAGATGAGACCAACAGCACAGTTATCACCGGCCTTCTCCATTCTCATCTCTCTTATTGCCCAGTTCTCCCAGAAAATGAGAGGGGACACACCATTTCCACCTCATCTATCATGGCATCTCCTTCTATGTGTGCCTGCCTCTCACCACACCTGACAGCAGAAGGCCAGCTTCATGGCTCCTCGTGGGAACCCTGGCCACAGGTGTGCTACAGGGAATCCCACAGATGCAAATGGGAAAAGAGCTACCAGAAAGTCCCAAAAACCTAGAACATGGTTTTTAGATCAAGGATTCAAACTAACAAAGTGATTGCCTATGAACTGTAGTCACTTTGATTTTCCTTCCAAATACACATTCAGATCCCTCTTGAAAAGAAAGAAAAGAGCCAGGCAGTGGTGGTGCACTCCAGAGGCAGAGGCATGCCGATCTCTGTGAGTTCAAGGTCATCCTGGTCTACAGAGTGAGTTCCAGGACAGCCAAGGCTACACAGAGAAACCCTGTCTTGAAAAACAAAAAGCAAGAAACAAAGAAGGAAAGAAATTGACCACCACCAACTTCAAAAGAACTCCCTTTGAGACAGCCTCATCAGCAATTTATTAAAACAAAAGAAGAGACCCAACGGCGCTCCTCAAGTCTTAATATTCAGTTACTGTAGTGAACCCTTGACTGAAGGACTTCAGTGTGGACTCACCCTTTGCACAGCCCAGTGAAAGGCCTGCTTCATTCTCCTGCAGGCGTCAGGTAGTGCGTCTGTGTCATCACTCTCCATAGTCGAGTCCTGCAAGCCTGTGTTCTCATGGAGTCTCAGAATTCTATAAATGCAGTGAGTGCTATCTTCTGATATCCTGTTAGGATCCATCTGGGGGGATATGAAAGTAATTATAGTTAATGAAATGGTTAACAAAAGGGTGATGCTTAGCGTTTTATAGCCCTCGGTGATAGACAATAAAATTACTCTCTAGTTGATGCAAAAGTCTTTTTTTTTAAGTGTGTATGCAAGCATGTGTGAGTGTGAGCATCAAATATGTACATATGTTTCCCATCACTGGGATTGGGGTGGCAAGTACTTTATTGATCAATCCATCTCCCTTGCTCCAAACCCAGTGACTTCTAATTCATTTTGATTAGCAGCTGGCAATCATCCACAACACACAACATCATAGATTTTTAACAGCTATGTGTGTGATTCACGGGGAATGAACTTCTTCACGGACAGAAGAGATATGAAAGATATCCTAAGTGATTCGAGCAGGTAAGAAAAGACTCGTCAAGCTAGATTGGTGGGTCACAATTATAGTCTAAAGACTTGAGAAGCTGAAGCAGAAGGATCATTGTGAATCTGGGGACAGCCTGGGATACAAAGTGATTTCCAGGCTAGCGAGGCTACAAGTAAGGCCCTGTCTCATAAACAAGAACAATAAGACACATGCTGTTAGGAGAAACACATGGAGATGAAGCCCACTTGGAGATTCAAAGCATGTCACCTGCATAAGTAAGGCAAAACTGGAAGCCGGGTGTAACTTCTCTTTCCAATGAGTATTTATTTGCCCAGTACTTCTCAACCAGGATCTTACAAACACATAAGGGTAGTATCTGTCTTCACGTTAGGGTAGAGAGGGTACTTGTGCAGGCCATATAGACAAGTGCTACAAATGCTAAAATGTAAAGATTGCCTTGCCCAAAACATCCCCATGGAGTTACTAACTGAACACCAAGTTTACAAGAGGTTTCCAGCCAAGCATCTCTCCATGCATGCACTGTTCAAGAAGCCTGCCTTCTACTTCCCAAGCTCCCATAAGGCTCTGCAGTGGCTTTGACCACCACAGAAGAGGGTAAGAGGCGGTTTGATTTGGTGTTGTTTTCCTTTGGTCGTGTGTGTGTGTGTGTGTGTGTGTGTGTGTGTGTGTGTGTGTGTGTGTAGTATGGTGTGTGTGTATCTCTACGTGGTGTGTGTGGTGTGATGTGTTCTCTGTGTAGCTCTGGCTGTCTTGGAACTCACTCCTAGACCAGACAGGCTTTGAACTCAAAGAGATCCAGGAGTGCTGGGATTAAAGTTATATGCCACCAGCACCCAGCTGACTTTGATTGTTTTAACAACAGTTTAGCTTGCTCTCTTTCTTCCAAAAGTCAAAGTATTTCATGAACATCTACTTAACAGTGGCTAAAAAGTAGACTAAATGCAAAGGGAAATTACATAAGTTTATAACAACCAAAGCACAGCCTGACAAAACACCATCGCTTTTCCCCCAATTTAATTAGGTGAAAGTAGTCAGAAAGAGGTATGCCCTTATTAACCAGTCCTCAGGAACAAACTAAAAGGTAGCCTCTCCATACCTGAAACTTTTAAAACCATCTTTTACCAAGCATGCACACATGGATACATGCTTTACTATTCTAGTCATGCAAATATGGGTATGATCTGGGGCTGGATAGATGGCTCAGCAGCTAAAAGAACTTGTTGCTCTTTCAGAGGGCCAGAGTTTGGTTCTCAGCACTGAAGTCAGGCAGCTCACCACTACCTGTGACTCCAGCTTCAAGAGATCTGTCCCCCTGTCCCCCTGTTCTGGACTCTGAAAGTGCTTGCACACATGTGGCATACTCACATACACACACACACACACACACACACACACACACACACACATAAATAAATATTAATGTTCTAAAATATATAAGGATAATGTGTAAACATGGATGAGAGGTACTATGAAACAAAATTATTTGCAATGCGTATTTGTTTTATTTATTTATTTTCTTTGGAACAATTAGTACAAATCAGAGAGTGTGAGTTTTCACTGAAGGGGAGCTGTTAATCCCCCCTTTTTAAAATTTTTACACAAGAGTCTCACTGTATAACCCTGGCAGACCTGGAACTCCCTATGGCTACCAGAGTAATGGGAACCCACAGAGACCAACTTGCCTCTGCCTCTGCCTCCTTAGTCCTGAGGTTAAAGGTGTGTACCACTGTACCCTCAATCAGACTTCTGAAAAAGATTTGTTTAAGTCAATAAGCATCCTATAAAACCAGACAAGTCTGGGCACTTGCCATGAAGGTCTGGGTTCAGACCTCAGGAAATCAGGATTCTGCAATAACTTACTACCAGACAAGAGCTGAACTGCAGGGACCATGGGGCAGAAGGAAATGCCTAGAGACCCTAAACGTAGTTCATCATGCTTGCATCCTACAGACAGACTAAAGGTCTTCCATAGAAGCAGCAGGTGTCAGCACTGCCAGTACTCAAGGTGCGGCTAATCACCAGCATGGACTCACGGGGAGATGTACTGTAACTGGATCCAAGGTCATCTTCTCAGTTTTAAACTCCAACAAGTGAAGCTTTAAAGTGTCAGATATACAAATTCATATAGCTGTTCTGATATTAAAATGCCCCCGGCCAAGATTCAGTACTTATCACAATATTGTACCAGTCAATAACAGTTCATGGCTAGGTACAAATAAAAAAAGTGGCATGATCAAGGTGAAGCAACAGACTTGGTTGACTTCCCATGGGAGGCCTCCCCTCTCTGAGGGGTAGATGGGGGGAAGCTGGGGAGAGTTGGCAGAGGGGAAGGAGGGGGAATGGGGATTGGTATGTAAAATTTTTAAAAAGATTCTTCAAGTGTGTGTGTGTGTGTGTTCAATAAGTACAAGAAAAGCATTCAACCTTGTTAATCATTAGGGAAATGTAAATCAAAGCTATGTAATGAAATTCATTGGTTTGTGTGGGAACCATACAAATGAATAAAAATAAAAATAAGACCACAAAAAAGTGGCATGCAAAGACTGTCCTTTCTCTCAAAAAAAGAAAGGAAGAGGAAAAAAAGAAAGGGAGCGGAAGAAGAAGAAGAAGAAGAAGAAGAGAGAGAGAGAGAGAGAGAGAGAGGATTCCAGTGACAAGACCTCACTTGGCCCTCTCAGACAATGTTATCGAATGCCTAAGTTAAATTCAATTGTTTAATCTTTCTTCAAATCTGTCAAAAATGTGCTTGAACCAACACTACTCACATGTCCAGACCTCATCAATTACTGTGACAAAGGAAATCACGATTACACAGCAAAATTAACTTTAAATTGTCCATTTATCTGTTTCCTTAAGGATGACAAGCTAGAAATCTGCTTTACATCTGTAAACAGAAGTGCTTTCTCCTTCAGGTGCCCAGGGAAAGAAAGGCAAGAAGCTTGAGAGGTACAAGACCAAGCACACAGGTGAGGGGGGCTCTATGGAAAGCTGGTCTGGAGTAAGGCTGGCGGGGGAAACTGCAGGAGTGCTCAGAGTGACCAAATGTATGGTGCTCCCACCCAATAGCATATTTGGGGGTCCACAGCAGTCTGGATAGAGGATTGGCAAGGTTGAAAGTACCATTTTAGCTACTAGATATTTGCATAATAGTAAATTAGAAATGGGAAGATGTGGCAAATCATTTGAAAGGCCTTTCTGCCGATTAAGTATGTCAGGCACTGTGGCAGATGCTGCGGCTAGCGGTGGGGACTGAAGAAAAGAACATGTCTTCGTGGAAGGCACATCAGCTGACATTCCACAAAAGGACACAGCAAACTGAGTTACAATGAGTCACACCTACATGTGTGCCTGCAAACACCAACGAGTGTCTGATTTTAAATGGATGATTAGGGCTGAGAAAGCAAGCATATACTGGAGGCCCTGAGGTCTATCCCTAGTAACACACACACACACACACACACACACACACACACACACATTTGAAAATGCACCTATCAGATGATCAGATGATGCTGTGGCTAGGAAATGAACTTTTTTTCTTTGTGAACTTCCTTGAAACAGAGCATTCTCTCATAGGGTTAAGTGAGGCAGGATGTTTGACATTTGGGTTGCTTCCTTATCGGTTTTTCAGACAAGCTGCCTGCCCACCTCAACATCAGATTTGCAGTAGTGGCTGCTGTCCTGGGTGAAGAACAGCCAGGGAGGCTGCCATGTGCACAGGGAGAGGGAGTGGGGTTTAAAAGCAAAATACGTAAAAGTAAAGAGTTGTCGGTTGAGCCCTTGTGGGGCAGAGCCCACTTTCAACAATAATTAATCATGCATGGCCAGAAACCATGCCTTACATATAGGTTATGAGATCCCTACACCTGCACATATTTCTATCAGTTATTTTGGAAAAATTTCCAGACATCACAGCATTTCACGTGTAAGGGTTTCTGAATGTATATCTTAAGTGATTGGGAGTCCCTTAGCTATCAGGTGTGGATACCACACTCTGTGAGACACAATCAGAATACTCAAATAAATGTGTTTTTCCTGATACAGCTATGCTAGTGATGGAGGTAACCTTTTTAACATGAAGTTACAGACCTGCCTGGGTTCAGAATAATGACTAAAATATTTCCAGTAAGTCTTTGTAGTGATTGGGGACTAGAGGTATGAGCACACACAAAACTCTGTGCATTTAATCCCAGCACCATGACATATAAACCAGACATGGTGGTGTGTGCCTGCAGTCCTAGCTCTTGGGAGGTGTATATCCTTGGCTACATGACAAGTTTGAGGTCAGCCTGGGCTACATGAGACCCTAGCTAGGAAGAAAGGGAGGGAGGGAGGCAGGGCGGGAGGAGAAAATGGGGAAAGAGAGAGAGAAGAAAAAAAGAGGGAAAATTGTACTCAGAAATCTGATGGCATTAAATTTTCCCAAGGAAAATCATCTGGCTTAGCTTGCTATCTCGAGTCTTTACTTTGGGAAAACGTTGTTTCATTATTTTTCTTGTGCCATCAACACTATTTTATGATGGACGGTGGCCATACTATTAGGGCGACAGACATCTTAGGCCACCCCACCACCATAGAATTCCTTCAGGAAAGCTGAACAAGAGCCTCGCTGGTGACTCCT